ACGAAGAATATGAAACATTAACAAGTTATAAAATGAAAGTTCAGACTAGTGGTTCCAGATCATACACTCATTATCTAATACCATGAAAGACCGCAGGATCACGATAGAGCCGATCGTTCGGGCGTGTCGATCAATCGCGGCGCAGGCACCTCGGCGGCGTCGGAGCATCCCAAGCTCTGGATCCATGAAGGCTCGGGCCTTCTTCGGCCCATCTTCAGGTGCGTGTTCCGAGTTCTTGAGGTTTCGGTCTGTCCTCGCTGTCGATTTCTGCTCTAGAGGCTGAAGAAAAGATTGGAGGTGATCGGGCTCGTGCGTCGGCAGGTTTTTTGAAGGTCGACGAGCGATCCTGGGATGGTCTGAAGGAGACCGCAGGGTCTTCCTCGCAAGTCAGGCATCATGTCGGAGCGGTGTGTATCACGTAACCGGTGCTGTTATTGCGATAATATTCTTGTTATGTGCATTTTTCTGAGTCTGAATGCTCGAGGTTTTATTGTTGCTGTGCTATTCGATTCTACGATTAGTGTGCTATTCGTGCGCCGCCTTTGCCGACTGCCTTAAGGCTTAAATTGCAGTCACTCTGCGGTGGTGGTTCCCCGATCTCGTCGACTACTGCCTCGTATTATCGAAACTGCATGTGTTGCAGATAACTTTGAAACTGATGCCATTCTCTTTGAAGTAGCGCAATAAAATTGACACGGACATACCGTGCATTCTATCTTGGGGGCTATTCTTCTTCTCCCTTCTACTTACTTCCTACTTCAAGGATGAGGATGAAGTGGAAGGGAGAGGATGAGAGATCTAAAACGGGGACACTCGAGACTTACAAGATGGGTCGATGGAGGGTACGTCTGAATCACTTCTTTCCTCTTCCGCCATCGACGGATAGGGAAAAAACAGCGCCGTGGACTGACAAGATGAAGGGGCCAGTTTTTCTTGAGAGCAGACGCAGAAGAAAGTCCTGATCTCGAGGACGGACAAGCTCCGAAACCTCCGGAAGTTGTCTTTCGCTTCATTCCTGGTTGGCAAACTCTATCTCGATATCAATCTCCATCGTCATGGTGGAATAAAGCCGCTTGATTTGCGCACATGCCCGTGCGTGTCCTCTTTGAGCGGGAATCGAATACGTGATCTCATCCGTGACCTCCTTTCTTCAAGGCGTGATTTACCCTTTCCCATCAACGTCAATGTCAATGGAGTTGAAACTTGAAAAGGAGACAAAGCCCTGTACTCCTGTAGGTGGGAACTTTACCATTGTCATGATACAACGCAGCGCGCATACATAGGGCCGTTTGATTTAACTTTATAAATGAGACTTAGAAAAATACAAATATCTTTAGGTTAAAGTTCTTTGGAGAAATGCAAATAACGTTTGGTAAACAATTCTATATAAAGCTAATTTGGCCCAAGGTAGTGTTTGGTAAATTTTTTTTGCAAAAGGCTTTGGAAATTTTCTTTTTATTAAAAAAAAAAACTTACCATAGCCTTCGCTGGAGCCGGCGAAGGCTTACGGCCGCCGGCGAGCTAGATCTAGCGCCTGCGGCCCGAGGTCGGGCGACCCCCGGCAAGCTAGACCGTCGCCAAAGGCCGGGCAACCCTTGCCGAGGGTCACGCGACCTAGGCGGCCATTGCCTGGGCGGTCGCGTGACCCAGGCTGGTGGCGCTTGGGCTATCGTGAGACCTCAGACGGCCGTCGCATCCGGTATCGGCCGCCCTTGCGCAAAAGATGAACAGTAATAAGAGGGGCAAAACCGAAATAAGCCAGAATAAGTGATGATAGTTTAGGGGCAAAAAAGTCGCCCAAATGCTGAAAGCCCAAAGCTGGCATTCAGCATTCCTAATGCTGGCTTTCGACCGGAAGACCCATTCGGAATGCTGAACCAAATGGAGCCATGGTGGGTGGTAGTTTCTTTCGTTCGAGCTTCCTTCTCACAAACTTTTGATTAGAAAAAAGATGTACGTTGGGAACTCGCACATCTAATTTTTTCACTCTAGTAGAATGAGTGAGTTTAAAGAAGCATCAGATATACTGAGTTCATCCGGATGAGATTTATATAATATAAAAAAAAAAAATCACATCATTAGTCAACGGTCAGGATATTCGGCTCTCACCCGGAAGACCCGGGTCCTTCAGTTCCTCACCATCTTTTCCGTTTTTTCGGTTCTTGCCTTTTTCTTTTAAGCCGTCAAATCCTGCACTTTTAGGCGCCAATCTTCAAGGGAAATTGTGATTTATCGATTCCTAAATTTTCAAGGAACAAAAGTTATGGCGCATATCGGAGCGGTTTGCTTTTCGATATCCTCTCCTCGTGGAAGCGGGATATTAAAACTGTATAAATATTAATGGGTATGATTTACAAGTCTATACTGCGATCTGCATACAATGGGCTAATGTTTGTGACTATCTGACCTTTCCTAGTTTGTGCGACGAATGATGGTATTGCTTCGCGTGTACAGAGATTCCCCGTGACTTTATTGGTTATGTTCTTGACAGGTAGCGAGTAAAAGGCGTGTAATCTTGTGCACTGAGAGTCGGTACTGATCATACAGTAACGCTTTGCTCATCCATCGGAGCTCCGAACGGTAGATTCTGGCCGGTCATGTGGTCTCGAATTAGCAGCATCGGAGAGGGCGGCTTCCGCTGGATGAGGGATTGGAGCTGCGCCACCGCCTCCGGTGTCCGGCGTGGGCCCCCATCCGCCGTAGTCGTCCGTGACCACCAATCTCGTCGGGCCATTGTCACGGTCACCGAGTTCTCGCTTTGGCGAGTTGGATCGTGATGGCAGAAGCAAGGGCGAGGGCTGAGTTGCCATCTCCACGGACGCCGTTGTGACGCCTATCGCTGCAGCCATCATTGCTGCCAAGCACAGGACCAAAACCAACCATGAAGTCGTGCCTGGAAATGGCATCGGTGTGATTTGTTCCGCGATTTGAGTCGAGTTGGGGGAGGGTTGACCCGTCTCCATTTAAATGACGACTTAATTTATCAAAGCTCATGTCTATCACGCACCGTGAATTTAAATGATTAGCATTTGGTTATAGTTTAATAACTTTGCCATAGCCACAAAAGCGGAGAGTGCTAGGATGGAATTAGTTGGCCTCATGCTTGATGAATGATAGTGTTCATGTTTTCCGAATGAGTCGTGATTGATTTGGCTTTGCAATCTCCAGCCAAATGGGAAGCCGACCCGCAATTGCTTATTTGAAACTAATTGAAATTGGTGGGTCTTTTGAAACTTTCAATTAGCGAGGAGAGTTAGAAATAGAATTAGATAAAAAAAAAAAACCATCTACCTATCTATCAATGGAATGTTGAAATTTAAAAGTCTTCTTTAGTTCTTAATGAATGGATAATTGCGGGGTTTTTTTTTTCATTCTTTTCGGTTGGAAAGAAAATCTTCAATCCACACGATAAAGATGTACGCAACTTCAAGACAAAATCAATTCAAGAAATTACGGATCGATGCAAATCCCGCATAACAAGTAAATCTGAAAAATGAATCAACTTGATACGACCTGCAGAGACTCATTCATCCCACGAAAACGAATCTGTTGTAGAATCAAAGCAAGACTGGCGTGTTGGTGGGTAGATTTTGAGAACTAAACGTGCACTTCTTCTTTCGAGGGACGGGATACTTTAAACCTGGCATAAAATTAAGAAACTCGTACGCCATTTTATTATACATTGGTTTGCGATTTTTTAACCTTATGCAAGTTTTGTCCTACACATTGACTTGCAATTTTGCAAAATGATTTATCTCATAATAATGTGAAGAGGGTAGCTGTACTGATCGCCCCTCCCAATCTTTTATCACCTTTTGTTTGATTAGTCCTCTACAAATTGAGCATACTCCTTATCATGTGCACTTTACAAGTGTCTCTTTTCATTAGTTTGGATAAGCAATTAGGATGAAATAAAGTGAATTCATGTGACCACCGAGATGGTTGTCCTAAGAGTAAATTGATCACATATCTTTGATGAGATCATAAGTAAGAGTGAGCAAAACAGACCGGGAGCCCAAAAGCTTGGACCGACCCGATTTTTCATACCCGAATAGTCTTGGGCCATGATTTTTGGGCTTCTCCTATATTTTCATTCGGGCTGGTCCAAGCATTTGGGCCCGAGATGCTTAGGCCCAAAATCGCCTGGACCGGTCCAAACTCTTTTTTAAGGATAAAAGATACATTGGAAATATAAAACACGAAACTATGAATAACGAACTATACATTATTTATGGCCGAAACACTTTGATAAAGTCACAAATAAATTAAAAAAACTTAATTAAAATCGGAGAATGAGAATTGACGTGGCAATTTGCGTTGAATTTGAAAAAGTGGCTGAAAATATATATTAAAAGTGATTTTTAGGCCTAAAATATAGTAACTAATCCATTTGATTTTATAAAATAGAAAGATTTCGGATTAGGCCAGAATCAGCCCGGCCTGGACCGGTTTAGTTTGGTTCAAGCCTTTTCTTGTTCGATCGGGTTGGGCAAAAAAAATGTCTTGTGGCTCGACCTGGCTCACCCGATCGACCCATGCACACCCTTGTCATGAGTTTGATTCACGTCGTAAAGGAACATATGAAATGGCATGTGCTATGTTACCCAATCGGAGCGTATCTTATGTAGAAAGACTTCCCGACTGTTGGTATTTCGATGAGGCTATGGTGACGGGCCCACCAACCTCGGACTATCTAGTCACAGATGGTGGAGAGCAGTTACGACTTAAATTTGATCTGTAGTCGGTGTCTAGCATTGATCGCTGCTCGAAATCAAATTCCCGTGCATATTTCGAGGAGATAACCGGAAAAAAGCGAAAAAACGAGGCGGATCCCAGCCAAATGAGGATCACGCGACGTCACGTGCCTCCCACGTACGGCCTCCTCTGCGGTCCCCCGCGTGTACGCGTGCCACGTCCGCAGCTGACGTGGCAGTCTCTAACCGCCGAATATTTTCCCTCCCCTCTCAACGGAACCAAACTAGTTCTCCGCGCTTCGTTTCCGGCGTCACCCCGAAGAAGAAGAACGCTCTCGCGAGTTGCGTTCATGGCCTGAAGAACCCGGTTCCGATCGCTTCCGTCGCTTTCGAATCCGGACCGCCGTCTCGCCCTCCATGGAGACCTCAATCCTCACGGCGACGCAGAGATACGCAGCGGCCGGCCTCCTCGCCCTCGCTCTCCACCGCTCCCAGAAGCGCCAGGCGCGGCCTTCGGACGCCTTGGCCCCTCTCGAGGAAGAGCCGATCGGCCGGGGCGCGTCGATCGATCGCGGCGTCGGTGCCTCGGTGGCGCCGGAGCATCCCGAGCTCTGGATCCACGAAGGCTCGGGCCTTCTTCGGCCTGTCTTCAGGTGCGTGTTCCGAGTTCTTGAGGTTTCGGTCCGTCCTTGCTGTCGATTTCTGTTCTAGAGGCTGAAGAAAAGATTGGAGGTGATCGGGCTCGCGCGTCGGCAGGTTTTTGAAGGTCGACGAGGGATCTTGGGATGGTCTGAAGGAGACTGCAGGGTCTTCCTCGCAAGTCAGGCATCATGTCGGAGCGGTGTGTATCCCGTAACTGGTGCTGTTATTGCGATAATATTCTTGTTACGTGCATCTTTCTGAGTATGAATGCTCGAGGTTTTATCGTTGCTGTGCTATTTGAGTGTACTCGAGGAGGAGAAGTTTTTGGTCGTCCAGCTTCGTAGTACACTTTGCCCAAATCTGTTCTCATCGTCTTATGCCTTCAAATTACGTGTATATTGAGTTGATGTCGATCCTATTTCAGTTCCTGACATTGCTCGTAGAGGATAAGGAAGAAACTTGTCCAGAAAGGTCAGACAAGGAGCTTGCTTTGGCAAAAGCTGTTGATGCCATGGTGCTTAGTGTGGAAACTTCTCCTGATTATGAAGAGGAGGATAACAGGAGTCGTGAATATGAAAAGGAGTGTCGAGAGAAATGTTCTGATTCCCAGATGAACGTATCATCTGAGGAAGTGGCGAAGCTAGATGGAACAGCTGGGGTGGCAGGTTCGGAGATGACCTCTGAAGAAGATGTTCCGAACAAAGTTCTTGGGACATCTGAGGAATTTATAGAAGAGGGCAGGATGATCAGTCGTCAGAGAAAACTTGCAGTTCTTTATGAGCTTCTTTCAGCTTGTGTAGCAGACAGCTCCGAAGATGAGAGCAAGTCACCTGGGAGGAAGGGCTATGATGCTAGACATCGCGTTGGTTTAAGGCTACTGGCAACGTGGCTTGGAATTAGATGGTTGGAAATGGTTTGTCCCATGCGATTTTCGTTAACCTGGAGTTTCATTGAGTATGCTAGAAACTGCAACACGCGTGCCTACAGATCAAGTATTTCTGGTTTAAACAAAGTAACTTCTGCATGATGCTCTAACTGCTACCTTCTAGGAAGCTTTGGAGATGATTGTTGCTTGCTCTGTGATGTCTTCATTGAAAGTGGAAGGTGCAAAGGAAGAAGATACTGAAGTCACAGAAAACCGTTGGGCTAAGTGGAAGCGAGGAGGAATTATTGGTGCCGCTGCTTTAGGTGGAGGGGCCTTGATGGCCATCACCGGTGGTACAAAATTGATTTGTTTCGATAGAGGAAATTGTAGTTCACAGAAACAAGTTTGTATAGTAAGCGAGACTTGTTTTGAGTGACTTGTCAACTGTAGTTTTTTCACAGGGCTAGCTGCCCCAGCTATTGCAGAGGGAATGGGAGCCCTGGCTCCAACCCTAGGCAGTGTCATCCCTGCTGTTGGAGCAGGCGGTTTTGCGGCAGCAGCAACTGCTACAGGATCTGCTGCAGGTTCTGCTGCGATTGCTGCATCATTTGGAGGTATTAATTTTCTGGATTTACTATTTGTTGATGTTTCATTGACATTCTTTTTGGATTTTTAGCAAGTAATACCACAATGTAACATCAGATATAGACTTTTCCCCCTTTTCTATTTCGCGTTCAATTTAGGCTACTATACTGTCAAGCAATAGTGGCTGGACTAATACTCTTCTATGCCAAAATTGAGGATAAAAAACAAGTAGAGAGAGTATATGTCTTCAATGGAGGCACAATGCTATTAGCTTTCCTACTCTGTCATGAGATGTAATGGTGTATCTTTTGCTTTCTTTGTAACTCTGTGCTTCTTTAACCCCTCGAGTTTTTAGAAGATTCTAAGGACTCTATGCATTTCAGTTGCTGGAGCTGGCCTTACAGGAAGTAAAATGGCCAGAAGAATTGGAGGCATTGAGGAATTTGAGTTCAAAGTGATAGGCGATGATCATAACCAAGGCGTGAGTTATAGCATATTGCATTTTGCTTCACCATTTGTGTTGAAGGGGAGGTACTCGTAAAAATGGAATGGCTTGCTCTATGTAACGCCTCAAACTTATGAGCATGATCTCTCAATGTTGCATCTAAATCTTTTTCTATCAGCAATTGGCAGTTGAGATATTGGTTTCTGGACTTGCTTTCGAGAGCGAGGATTTTGTAAGGCCATGGGAAGGTTATGACAGTAACTTGGAAAGGTAGAGGAAATGACATGTCTTCCACTACCTACAAGATGCATGCTGACCTGGTGTCCGTATCTCTTATCTTCTTGTACTAGAACATGACTTGACAGCAGTTACTGATGTCATTCATTGGGTATCATGTAGATAGATGACATATTTTAGGGTGCTGACCTGTTATTTCCATTTCTACTTGATATGACGAAATGCTTGAGGTTTTGTTGTTAACTATTAGTTACAAATGTTACTAAGTTTTTGTTTGTTATAATGCACTTTGTAGGCAACTGTAGAAATTCAGTGGTAGGAGCCATGAGTAATACATAATCACTTTTGGGTTTTCAGCGTCTCTACCACTTCAACTTAGAAATATGGCCTACTTAGGGATTCTAGTTCTTAACAAAGAATTTCATGCAATGTAAGTGTTATTTTTCTTGGCCCACATGCTCAGATGATCTAAGATGAAGGGGAAAATTCTCTCTCCCACCTTGGCCACTTTGATGAAAGGACCTTTTTCCCCAAATAAATTGGGTTAACTCTCAAGAAAGAACTTAAGCTTGCTTTAGAGGGGAGGTCACTGCCTTCTAGAGTTCTTTTGCCAAACTTGTGTGAGTTGAGCTCTTAATATCACAGACACCAATTGTTAAAGGGGGGTGGAGAATAGTAAAGGAAACTGTGAGGTTGCTTGAGTCTTATTTGTGGAAGCTGAGCTGAATTCCCCTTAAACATATGTAAAGTGTGTGGTGACTTGTCTGCTTAAATTTTATAGCAGCTGCTCTGTTTTGATGTATCCAGATGGTCTGGTGATATTATTGTTATCGAAATATAGGTATGCACTGCAATGGGAGTCTAAGAATTTGATTGCTCTAAGCACTGCCATACAGGACTGGCTTACTTCAAGTAATTTCTCACAACCTTACATGCTTATGGCATCATAGCATGTGTAGTGAACACAATTTAATTTTTTAATTGACCATTGTACCTCCTCTGGCAGGACTTGCTATGGAGTTAGTTAAAGGAGGTGCAATGATGACTGTTCTGAGCACGCTTGTGGCTGCATTAGCTTTACCAGCAACTCTGGTTACTGCATCTGATATCATAGACAGTAAATGGGCCATTGCTATTGACAGGTTAAGATTGTTAATTAGTATTTTTCTTCTTTAGAAAAACTATTATTAAAATTCACACCCAGAGCTTCTGAATCATAAGACAAACATGCACAGCTTGCGACTTATTGAAGCCCTAGGGCTCCAACTGGCATGGTGTCAGTTCTGAATTTCTTGCTTTCAAGTTAGGGATTCACATGTTGGTCCCTCACATTCATTCTATGACACCGCGTAGTCTCATTAGTCACTGCCATTCTTGAGATTCTCCCTTTTCCTGGACGACTTAGGAAGCTCCTCGATATGTAACAACATTAATGGAAATTCTCTGGAGTTTTGAAAATTATAGATATTCCTCTTAACCAAATCGAGGCTATTTCTCCCAGGAGTTTAATACTTTATAGAGTGTTTAGATATTCCTGTTTACCATGCTGAGGCTAAGCTGCTATATAGTATCTAAATTTGGTGATATCGTTAATCTATCTATTAGTACTGATTATTTCATAAGATTCCTTGTTATACGGATGCAGTTTACTGAGCTATTCCAATTTTCTTCCTCTTTAGCAATGCCCTCTTTGATCCAGTTATTATCCCACGTGTTGCTTACGACTTTTCTTAAACCTTGTATCTCCAGTATTCGCTAATTAGCTAGTTAGCAATCTTACCATGTTTTTCCCATCCTTCTTTAGTTAAATAAAACTGACTGGAATTGCAGTGGTTTCTTGTCACCTTAGTGCCTTTTGTTCTCCGTTGATATCATCATAATTTGCAGATCAGATAAAGCAGGAGAACTGCTATCTGAAGTGTTACTGAAAGGATTGCAAGGCAACAGGTTGGTCAACTTGTATGCTTGATTTTGCTCAATCTTGTTGCTTTCTGCCGGTCTGCAAAATAACTCCATGGACCAAAGACTGCTCCTTTTTCGCCTTCTATGGCATTGTCTGACTGCCTCTGTAACATCATGTAGGCCCGTCACTCTCATAGGCTTCTCTTTGGGTGCCCGAGTAATTTTCAAATGTCTACAGTTTTTGGCTGAATCGAGTGAAGATAATGGTAGATATCATATGGCCCTGATTTTACGTTTCACTTGGTATTAGCTCTGTTGGTCAGGGATATGCTTATATTTGTCCTTTCCTGTCTGCAGCTAGATTTGTTGAAAGGGTGGTTCTTCTTGGAGCACCAATTTCAATCAAGGATGAAAATTGGGAGATAGCAAGAAAGGTATATTTGAGCTCTCTATTTTTCTTTCTTTCCTTCATAAATATAGTATTGTCCATTTTAGTTCTTACTATTCCCTGACGTGATTTTGCAGATGGTGGCTGGAAGGTTTGTCAATGCATATTCAACAAATGATTGGACCCTTGGTATTGCTTTCCGTGCCAGGTGCGAATTGCCTTTTTGTTTTCTCAAAAAAGGATGAACGAGTAGTTTTTTTCTACTCCCTATGCAGCGGTATGTGAGTCACCCACTTGTTCTTTTCCCTAGAAGACATGGAATATTAACGCTCAAAATGAAATTCTCTTGACTTACAGGAGAGCAGTAGACAGTCATAGACAGTTTCAGCCTGTTGTCTGAGGTTATGTTAAGGGTCATTTTGCTCTCTAGATTTTTTCCATTCCATCTACTATTAGTGATTAGAGAGTGCCTCTCTCACTTTCTTCTTTTTGATTTTATTGAGCTAAGTCATAACACGGCATTGCTAGTAAAGTAACTTGAAGCAGAACTTAGGGGAAAGAAAGGAAGAGGGATGTAAAGCAGAAACTTGGGAAAGCAAATTATAGTTAACCATGAAAAAGCTAAAAGCAAGAATTCAGACAGAATATCATTTGGGCAAAAAAGGTGAAGTGTCAATGCTGAATTCAGAAAGAATTCAGACAGAATATCATGGGTGTTTCAGCAGAAACTGCAATTATATTAATCTGAAAAATTACAGCTCCTGAATATCCAGAACTAAATGATTCAGTGGTGACTGATGTTTCTTTTTGAAAAATTTCCTCTGTAACACCACCGGTTCGAGTGTAATTAATTGTACCTTCCATTAGTCAAGGCACAAGGTGCCTCATTCAGGCTCTAAACCTACTTTTGAACTGTAAAAGGTTTTGATCCAAAATGGTAATAGGTTTATGGGATATCTAACATAGTTATTTTCCTCTTCTGCAAACAGTGTTCGTTTCTTCGGTATTGCTTCTATTTGTATCTCACTGGACTAACCGCTTCACCATCTTCAGTTTGTTCTCTCAGGGGTTAGCTGGGATTCAACCTGTTAATGTTCCTGGCGTGGAGAACGTAAGCTCTCTTTCACACTTGCTTTGCAGTAATCCTATGCTAATTTGCCCATGGTATTCATGAATATTTCGTTGTTTTGAACCTGTGATCAACGTATCTTGCAGGTCGATGTAACAGAGTTGATAAATGGTCACTCATCCTACCTTTGGACGGCAAAACAAATTTTGAAACAGCAAGAACTGGACAGTCCTTACCCCGTTTTTAGAACTGAGTAGTACGAAGATTCATGATGAAAAGAATTCTCTTACCTTAGCCTGACTTCTCTAAGCAACCTTCATTTTCTGGTTGGCTTTTCATTTCATCCTCTATCGATTTTTACCACTATTTCGAGTTTGACAACTCACCTTCCAGGACATGAATAGACAATGATCTCTTTCCTCGGTCAGGTGTCTGCAGCACATCATTCAACAACCATGCCGGCATCTTTTATGGACTATAGTGAACCTCCTCCGGTCCTTCGTAAGTTAATCTTTTTGTTTTAGCTCGGACATGCAAAGAGACCTGGGTGGAGCTATAGTTAGCATTCTGGACTTAATGCTAGGCGCCGAAGCATTCTGAATAGCAAGATGCTTTTCGGCTTAGTTGTAGATTGAACATGCAATTTGTCATGTCTTGCTATTTCCCGGCTACACCTTTTCCCTGATTATTTTGCCTAGTTTCTCATATGACACTTCCAGTTATTTATGATTGGAAAGACCGATTTGTGCTCATCAATGGCTGCTTAGCGTAAATTGCTTTGAATGGAGAAATCAATCATTTGTCCTTGAAGATGATCGAAAAAGTCATAAACCTATTGTACGGATGCTAATTCAGTCCTAAGCCTTTCAATTTTGCCAATTCAGTCATAAACCTTTTGATGATTTGTTAATTTAGTCATAAACCTTTTGACGATTTGGCAATATAATCTTTCCAGCTAAATATCTAAATAATAGGTTTAAGACTAAATTGACAAATCTTCAAAAAGTTTAGGACTATATTTGCAAATATTCCGATCACGTATTTTGGTCTACGCTGGTTTTATTTCTCATCATTAATTCGTTGGTTTTAAACATTAAATATTACAGCGATGGGTATTGATTGGTCAGCATGTGAGATTACAATCATTGTATGATGTGTGAATTATATACTGTATTGGGTCCACAGCATGAGTGAGAAGCTATGTGCCACCGTCCTCTGACCTAAGAGTGTCTGAAAAGTTTCCGCGGTAGATTCAAAGAGAAGCAATTGCAATTATTTCGAAGAAAAAGTCTGTCTCTGGAAGTAGATGGGACACCAATATGCAATAATCCAGTGATCAACAGTTTGGGAGCTGTTTTTAGCTTTCATATGCCAAGATATTCATTAGGTCCGCGATTTAACGGGTATCCTCGAGATACTTGTTAAGTATACTTAACAAGAAAATATTTGCATTGGAAATTAAAATTTTTCCCTAAATATGATGTTCGACAAATGATCACAAAACACTCGTTAATAAAACCCATTTCATTATAGCATCATTTATATTTGTTGAGAGAGAGATATCTTACTAATGAAAGGGTAGGCATTGAAATTCGGCTATATGTAGGCAAGTTTAATCCTTCGTTTGTGCAGGTGGTCTTCATACAGAGAAATTTGCATGCAGTTGATGGATATTCTTGAGTTTGAAATCTCCTTATGTTCAATCAATGTGAGGTCATCTTGAGTTGTCATTGACGTTACGCAATACATTTGAGGAGATTGCACTTAGAGAAATGCCAAATCCCGGTCCCTCGTATACATAGAAATGTTGCAGAACATGTTTAGTATAGTTGGTTCTGAAATCCTCCAAGTACGTGATCAACCTAGAAAGAAAGGCAACTGAATGTTTAATGCGCATGTGTTTCTTGGCAATCACAATCGAGATGGCAAAACATAGCTTCAGTTTTATGCTGATGATTTTCAATGTTCGAGTGATGGCAGCTTAATATATATATGATTGCGGCAGAACTGATACATACATTTTCACAAGCTTCGTACGATTAGAATACATGCTTTTCATTTATGCTATTGTTGGTGTATGTAAATTTACTGTCCAAACGCTCAAAATCAGATTCTAGTAAAGATAGGTTGAGAAGAAAGAGTAAAACCACCAGAGTCAAGTCATATCAAGTTCAATCTCGATCTGGAGTTTTAACTAACCTAACTTTAACCTAGGATGCGCATTGCTTCATCTCAACCCGAGGTGTATACGAGTTAATTTCGATCGGAGTAAGGAAATGGTACCTCGATCTACTTGTTTCAACCAAACTATATAATACACTCATTAACCTGATTTTTCTTTGAATGTGTTTTCCCTTTCGAAGCAATGTCTTTGAATTTACGCTTCTGTTTTGAGGTCAACGTTGTTTTTCATAATGTTCATTGTAAATTCCAGTGTTGCTCGCGTGTCAATATTTCCATTTTGAGTGTCAATGGGTCTTTAACTTTCTAGTTCTTTCAAGTCCCTGTGGATTTGATTCTCAGTAATTTCTTTTTTCATAGTTTGCAATTAGTTTACTTTCCAGTTAGATATTATTTACTTTAATTCTCTTTAAATTTCCTTTAATTCCGACATTATCATAGGCCTTGCAATTTACTTTTCCAGCACTTTTAAGCAGCCTTGCCATTCAGATCAATGTAGTTGTTTTCACAGGTCTCTTTGCTCTCGAGAGCTGGCATGCCTGTTTTTACAACCTCTACACTCCACCCGTCTTCGCAAAACTTGCTTAGTAGAAGTTTGATCACTTTGTGGTCAAGTTTGAACTAGAGAACAAGCTGTTGGGTCGTACTTCCGATCGCTTTTCTGTCAGATTTGCCTTAAATCAATTGAAGTCCGACACCTCTTTTTGGCTCATGTCCGATGAGACTTCTTTTGGAAGTTTTCCAGATGGCGAGGAAGAGGGCATGATTACCTAATGCTTCGAGCAATCAAGCACCCCTATACTACACCATTTCCGAAGAGCTCAATGAGGAGACTTTTCACACGGTCAATAAACAATTCTAATGATGAAGCGATGTTAAGGAACTGTGTTAGGGAACTCAATCGATTCACAGGAAGCCTTACCCAGACCGGATTGACGACACTCGTCATCCGTTTCCAAGAAATTATTAGGTAGAGTTTGTCACCTTCGAAGGGGATGGAACTCAGTCCCCTGTTGAAACTCAATGATCTAATTTAGATTGTTTAGGTGAAACTCTGACATTTTGGAAATTCTCCAACTGTAAATGCTTTTAATTGATACGTGAATTTACCTCCTAGTTCAGTCCAAGATTGGGGCAGTTTGGGCTATTATTCATACTCAATCTAAACTAGCAAGAAACAAGCGTATGATTCAACTTCTTGGGCGAGAGTTTTGTTGATATTAGGGATAATCGATTTCCAGGTGAATCGAGAGCCGGGCCACTTTGTTATTTTGTATTAAAAGTCAAATTCGTGTAGTGAAATATAAAAGTTGCATCATTTCATTGCAAAAAATATATTTTAGTCAAAGTGATTACGTTGTTTCTTCAAGTTGAAGACCAATGTTCAATTCTCGTTGGGTGCAAAAGTATTGCTTTTTATTTTCTAAATTTTATCTTCAAAACCGATTCAACTCAGAAATCATGCCGGTCTAACCCGTTCCCGAATAAAACCGACAGTTCTGGCCTTGAAACAGGAACCTCCCAAGTTGGTCCAGGCCAGTCCCATCATGCTTTCGGCTTGAACTGGATCCGGAGCTCATCCCTAATTGATACGGGTCAAGAGTGGTTTGAACTTCGAGTTAAGAAAGAAATTCGAGCACCGTGGAACTTATCGATTTTGTTTCAATAGGCAAAGTGTTAGAACTTGTTAGAACAAGATAAACTTAAAAAATGGAGCATGCTGACCTCCATTGGAACAGAGACGTGAGGAACATTTCATTTCACGCGGATTATCAAACGAAAAACTGACCCAACATTCAGCTTTGACCCCCGCCCTCCCTCCCTCCCTCTCTCTCTCTCTCTCTCTCTCAATTCGGCCGGACATCCGGAAGGACCGGAGCTAAGGACCACGAACCCGGTCCAAACGCCGGTTCGCTTCCGCTTTCTGTTAAAAATTCAACTGCTAGGGAACGGGGGACCTCGAGAAACAAACAGAGCGAACTTTTTTCACCGGAACAAAATCATCAAAGGTTCGGAGATTTGAAAAAATCAGCAGCCGGACCACACGAAGCTTTCGGCTTCCATGGAGGCCATCCGGAAACAAGCCACGAAGCTCCGAGATCAGGTCGCCAAGCAGCAGCAGGTAAACGTCCCCGGCCCTCTTCGTATCTTCTCCTCGAACCGTACGGCAGGATTCGGATCGATTCGCGTGAGTCTCCGTCTCCCGCCGCCCCCCGACGCGCGCGCTTGCCGAGTTCGCGGCCGCGCCGATCGGGCCTCCGATTCGGGTCGTTTCCTGCTCGTCGAATCTGGTTATATCGATCGATCGGATTAGCGGATGAGGGCTGCGGTGATCCCGTGTTCTGTGCGGCGATTGTGTGTTCGAAGTGATTATGAACAGTTTGGGATTTGATTGTAGCGGCGGCAGGGGAGAGATCCGTTTCCTGGTTACGATCCTAGGTGATGGGCGTTGTCTGTCTTTGGCTAATTTGTGGGTCAGCAACCATAGTGCACGGGTCGGTACAACCTCTGGATTTGGGGCGGGGTCTTGTCTCTGCGTATCGGGTGAGGCGCGGGTTGTGCATTTCTTATGGGTGCGCCTCACCTGTGATGAACTTAATGGAAGTAATGAGTGAAACAATGATCGGAGAAACATCAGACCCAGCTCTGGGATATGTCGAATATCCTAAATTCACCATCCGCTGTTAGATTTCACTTATGGAATGAGTGGCGAGGCCCATATCGATACGGCTTTGCAGATTGGTGAGATTAAGAGGAGTTTGGACATTAGGGCTCCTTACACGTGCTCCTCGCTGTGACTCTTTTCAGCATTAATCGGAGGAAACAAAATCGGAGACGAAGCGAATACAGCTCCGGGATCCAATGCGAAAAGACATTCTGCAGTAAATTTTATTTATTGATGTAGTAGGCGTGGGAACTGTGTTAAGAGGACACTGGGGAGGTGAAGGATCCACCTGCTTCAAAATTTTCAAAGCCAACTGCTGGCATTCGTGGCACTACCATGTGCCAATCGTTCAACTTCATCTGTGATTATTTGGTTAGGTTCGGATAGGGCGACACTTTTCAAGGATAGTTTCCTTCTCCAGATACGTTTTGGATGTTATGTTACATTATTCTCTGTTCTAAGAGAGTTTCTAGGAGCCATCACTGGGAATGTTTTAGCTTGTTTCCATCCCTGCAGTAGAAGTTGTTGTGTAAGATATTTGATTTTGCTTAGTGATCTTTCTAGTTAGATTTCTCAGATTGTGGTTAATTTTGTCACAGGCTGTCTTTAGGCAGTTTGCTGGTGTATACGGAGGTTCAGATAATGTTGTAGCTGATGAGACAGAACTTCAGCATCATCAGAGACTTGAGAAGCTCTACATATCAACTCGTGCCGGCAAGGTTACTCCTCTTCTCCTTGTTGATTGAAACTTATGTTGGTTATTATTTATTAACCAGCGTTAAGAATCTAAATTACCAGCATTTCCAAAGGGATATAGTTCGTGGTGTGGAAGGTTACATTGTTCATGGGTCCAAGCAAGTTGAAATAGGTGAGTGTGTGGCTAATGTTGTTCTGCTATGGCAGGGTTCTGAGTTTACCGTTGTCATTCATTAATCTTCACGTTTTTCCTTCACAGGTACCAAGTTGTCAGAAGACTGTAGGAAATATGGTGCTGAAAATACATGTACCAGTGGCACTACCTTGTCTAAAGCCGCCTTAAATTTTTCAAGAGCTCGTGCTCAAATGGAAAGAGAGCGTGGAAATCTATTGAAAACTCTTGGAACCCAGGTAAACCTAACTCCATATATGACTAGTAGATTATATGTGAGTTGTTCACTGCTTGATTTGATCGTATGAAATGAACACTAGGTGCAAACTTATTATGTGAGAAGTGTATCTTCATTTTTTACTATTTCATTTATGGTAGATTGGAAAATATCATACCAGTGAAACAACTTGCAATACCTCAAGCATACCGTATTCTGAATTCTGATCCTTTTTTTGGATAGGTATCGATTTGTTTCACTTTTCAGCCCCTATTCTCTTAAAGTTTGCCTCATCTAAAACATCACATTAAATGTATAGAAGCTGGCTTGCGCTTGCTGGGTTATCCCGCCCCGCCTTCCTCTTTATCCCCCTTTCTTGCCTTCTGCTAAACCCACGTGAGTCTTGCACCATTGAGTCCACGTGCTTGTATCTCCCTAAGTCGAATACATTGCCTTGTCACATGTTCTTACTCTTCAATATCTTTGTATGCCCCAGTAGTTGATATGCTTCAGTTGAAAGCCATTTGCCACACTATTTACAAATTTTTGACTTAAAAGTGCTTTAACTTCAATTTTTCTATGTTGCCTGGTCTACCAGTATCGTTCAGAGGGTTGGGGATTAAGATTCCCCAGCTTTTAGAAATTTTTTACGAAAACGGGGGTTTCATGTGCTGCAACTATGTCCAACGACCTTGTTGGACCTTCAGGGACCCTGACTGAATGCTGATAATTAATGGCAGTTCAATGTACAGTTTCTTGGTTTTGATTAGAATCCCTTCAAAAAGAGATGAATGTTCTTTATTTGCTGTGTAACATCATCGTATGTCCTCTATTTGGGTTATTGTATTTTGTAAGAGACGGGTTGAGTTTGCCTGCGTTGATAGGATATCCACACACCTACATGGGAGCGCACACATACACACGTGTAAATGCAAATATATACTTCTGCATATATGGTGTAGTGAATAACGGATGTATTTTCGGTTGAATTATTTGACAGTTTAAGTTGTGGAACTGATCCATAGCACCCCAATGACAAGAAACTGTATATAGGCAAAATCATACTCGATCGGCCTCTAACCTATTCTATTTAATAATGCCCCTATAGGGATGGTAGTTTCAAATTATTACTATGAATTAACTAGTGGTTTCATCAGGTGGCAGAGCCCTTAAGAGCAATGGTGATGGGTGCTCCCTTGGAGGATGCTAGGCAACTTGCCCAAAGATATGACAGAGTGCGTCAAGAAGCTGAGGCTCAGGTGACGCTATTTGAGTTTGCTCACTTTATCTATATGCAATTTAATTGTCATTGGGCCATTTTAGGAAAGTCAAAGCTCAACTCAGCTGGCATATGATAAGTCACATCTATTAATCCTGTATTCTTGTGTGGTTGATCCTGCATTGATTGCTGAAGTGCTTTTGTATCCTGGGTAAGCTGAAGCTTGAGTAATACTTGCTCATTAAATATCTTCCTGTTTCGGGCTAAAATCATTAAGGTCTTTACTTAGGCGTGGGCCTTTCTTTGGGACCTAGTGTCCATAGTTTTGTCTGCGAATGTAAAACAACTATAATTTATTTGGTGAGTATCAAAATTACTTACCAAGAAGATAAAGTAGTGCTCTTCTACATACTTTTACTGTAGTTACCTTAGTCCTTCCATCAGCTTAGGTGCTGCGAGCAGGATTGGGGCACCTCATTACATTTATATACTCTCTCTTTAGCAAAGGATATCCATAGCTCAGCTCTCTTAGAAAAACTCATGAGAAGACAACTTAAGATCTTCATACCCTGATTATTCTTCCCTTAAAATCTCTGGCATTCTGATTCATGATTCTCTCTCTCGCGCGCATGCGCAGTCGGCTTGCATGTGATCACAGTTGCTCAAAGTTCTTACTTGAGCATTCACGCCTTCATAGCTAAGCCTCAGCTAAACCTTGGAAATCTTAATGTAGCTCCGAATAAATTAAATACATGCATTAAGAAAGAGTCTAAGAAGATGGCAGCGGATATTTTGTGGATATTCCATCAAGAGAAAGGGGGCAGACTGCTCTGTGGGCCAACTATATATGGGGAGCGAACCGAAATGCCTGATAATATGTTTGAGGTCTTCCTTCACGATAGTATACTGAGAGACTCAGATCATAAAGATTCTATCTATCCAGCTCTCGGTTGTGGGGTCTGAAACATTGTCAGCGTAGTTCGAAGACATCCTTGATAATCCCTTGTAACTTTATTTGCATTCTAATTCCAGTCTTTTTGGTGTCTCTAGGATGGGTGATTTTTGAGAATTTTCACAATATTAGCATTTAATTGGAATATTTGGGGCCTGAAAGAAAAAATGCTAGAATTTCTTGCAACGGAAGATGATCATTTCTCAAGCTTGAGGTGTTATTAGTTCTTCAAGGTTGCCCTTACATACTGATATGCTCCAAGACAGGCTATCGATGTTTCTAGGCGCCAAGCTAGGGTAAGGGAATCCATGGGTAATCCTGATATTGCCATGAAACTAGAAGCTGCTGAGGCCAAGCTTCAGGAGCTGAAGACAAACATGGCAACATTAGGTAAAGAGGCTACTGCTGCAATGGCTGCTGTAGAAGGCCAACAACAGAAAATGACTCTTCAACGGCTTGTTGCTATGGTAATGCGATCCACCCTTCTTTCATTTTTTTTTCCAAATGAGGTTGGTTGTAATTATATGGTTCCTAAAGGATAATCGAAGCTATACTTTTCTTTGAATTATAGGTCGAATCAGAAAGAAGCTATCATCAAAGAGTCTTACAGATACTTGATCAACTTGAAGGCGAGGTCTGAATTTTTTTTGCATGGCTTTTCTGGCATTAACTTAAGATACACCTTCACTATCATAGTCAGTTTTTCCAGTCATTTGCTAACTGCTGGTTTTGATTGAAAATCTTCTTCCCTTTCTACAGTTGTTGTCAGATCGCCAACGAATTGAAGCATCTCCAAGTGTAGCTGCCGAAACCTCTGTTCCTCCTCCCCCGTCGTATGAGGAGATCAATGGTTCCTTTGCTTCTCAGACATATGATGAAACTGCAGATACCATTGACTATTTCTTGGGAGAGGTAGATCTTGGTGAACTTGTTTGGATGATGTATTATGCTTGATGGTTTACTTCATTATTTATGCCATATAACTATTTAGCTTCTAATCATCTTTTGTCTGAATCATCAGGTTATGCACTCATTTAGAGCAGTATCTGATGGGGAGTTAAATTTATCAGCAGGGGACTATGTGGTTGTCCGTAAGGTTGTCACTCAGTTCTCATTTTCTCTTTTATGAAGCTTCTCTTTTGGTTTACGCTGACTAATTAATGCTTGTTTTTGTCTTTTTAAGCTGACGCCACTTAGTGGGATAGTACTTAGTTTAACGTTGCTGGTTGCCGTAAATTGTAGATTGCACGTTGAGGTGATGCAAAGCTTGGAACTAGGATAAACTAGTGATACTTTGTGTGATGACAAAATGTATTAACATTGAATGGAGAAAAATATGTGTCAGTTGTTTGGTCGTCAAGATGGATGATTATATTGTCATGTGTCCTAAAAATCTGTGAAAGTGTTGGTAATTGTTAACTGACTGGTAAATAGTTTAGCTGGGACAGTGATAGTATGTTACCGACTAGCGTTAAAAGTTTATGAATGTCTTGCTGAATAACTTACTGATCTTTATTTACTAATTCGTAACTTGAATGAGTACTAGTATTAGGTTATCAATTCTTATCTGAATAACTATCTCATTTTTATTTGAGTAAGGTACCAACTGTTTTGAAATTAACAACTCATCAAATTAACGACTTTAATTTGGAAAACTTACCAACTTTCGTATTGGTATGTTACCAATTAGTATTAAAGGACCAACTCTTGACCGACTTTGATTTGAGCAACTTACAATTACTCTATCGGTTAAATTTTAGTATTAATAAGTGGCGGACAACTAATTTGCCTGTAACCTATTTTTTTTCACAGGATATTAAATTCACTAATGTGTATTGCATTCTACCAACCACAGACAAAATGTCCGTGATTATGCCAATGGAACGCTAGAGCTTTGCCATCAAGATATAAGGCAATAATATCTGAAAAACATGTCAATCAACTTGATAGTATACATAGGTGTATGATAGAAAAGGGATTTTGGTGACTGCATCCTATAGATTTAAATCACCACCACTATTACCGTGGAAACACTTCTTCCAATATATCAACACCATATTACCTACTGCATGCCGTTGCCACCACCTCCTTCACTGATCATTTATTGCAACTGGCTCCATTACATCACTAATCTCTACATATATCCTCCACTTCTCCACTGTTTTCTAAACTTTTAGTAAAGATTGATTTGTTCAGCAAGTATTTAGTTGCCTTCTCAGTCCCGATCAATTTCTTGATGACCTACGTGGCTGTGAGCTTTGAAAGTAATTTGGATAGTAATAATGACACCGATGAGTTACTGTGCTGAGTGGATTGAGAATTTTGCATCAGTTCCTTTCAGTATCTATATCGACTTCTCGTGCTCCATTTACAAAAAGAATACTCCGTTTTCTTCCTCTCATATAATCAGGGGTTTAGTTCAATTCTTTCCGATGCTAATGCAGGTGTCAAACAGTGGCTGGGCCGAGGGAGAATGCAAAGGAAAAGCCGGTTGGTTTCCACTCGATTATGTAGAGAGGAGGGAGCGTGTTCTGGCGAGCAAGATGACACATGTATTCTAAATTGTACGGGCGGAATTCTTCTCATCACGTTTGCATGTGGTATGCGAGGGTAATTGGGAAATGGATTGTCACCTGATACTGCTTTGTGTCTTGGGTGAGAGTGAGTTGTATTTTGTCCTTATTTTTGTTTCCCCTCATTGACCTCAGTAACAGATTTATAAAAAAAATAAGAATGCCGTAGTGTTTGCTCCAGTGTGGTGCTGTTTATTTGTCTCAGTGTAAGAAAAAGTTGTAGCTCATATATATATATATATATATATATATATATATATATATATATATATATATATATATATATATATTTCGTTTATTAGGATTTACGAAGCTTCAGCTCCTCTCTCATCATGCTTCAGACTTTTGGTCATGAGAACATGTTACTAGAGCCACCACGGGGAAGTCTGTTTAGGAATTGCACAGCTTGAACTGCGTTTTCGCAGGCACATAGTTGGTAGGTCAGGTCGTATTTTGTCTCGGATGCAACGATGAAGGTTGGAATGCTAATCCGAGACAAAATGGATGGGTGGTATAGATAGATTCACGATAACAATCGGAATGTGCTGACATGAGAGATGTTTTGTTATATTACAGGAAGCTTGAAGCGCCGAATAAGGCCTCCCCGATAAGCTTGATGCTCATCTCTTTTTGGTACCGTCAATTGGCTGTTAAAACACTTTAGTATATGCTGTTTTCACCATTATTATTTGCATCTGATAATAGCAGGGTTCACCCAACCAAAAACACAGAAAGAAGAAGAAGAAGAACAAACAGCCACGTTTCGCATACCCGAACTCTGGGTAACAATCTGCCATCTGCACTCAAATGTACAGCTGAGACAGTCGAACTGAAACTTACATGATTCATCGATGCCAGATCCAGACAATTTAAGAGTCAAGTTGGCTTTCATCGATGCCGGAGCAGCGTCGCGTAAAATTCTAGTCGTACGATCAGATCAAGGGAATGACCATTACAGGTGGATTAATTCGTTGTTGCATAATTTGATTTTTAACGACTTCTTGCCCGAAATTACCAACTCGATTCGGTTCGTCCTCTTCAGCAAACCAAACATACCCCCAAGAATCGTCTGAAACATTACGAGGACACTGGAGTCATGCCGGAGGAATGATACCCCACGATCCTTCACCGTCCCCGTGGCAGATGTGCAAGATGGGGGAATAAGTTCTGCTTAGCCAAGTACGAGATGTGGGCCAAGAATATGTGACCGACATGTCCAATCTCAACAGATACAAAGTTGCAATTTGGCATCCGCACTCATCTAACGACCCAGTTGCGCCAACCACGAGATGAAGCCGAATCGGATGTGTTCTTCCCAAGTAAAGTTGCGGCTAACTCATCCCAGTAACATCCTTCGTTTTCTCTCCCCAACATAGCCCGTTATATGAAAATCGGCGATGAATAGCAAATCGCCAGTAGATCATGCGGGAGCTGGGCTCTGTCGATCATTTGCGCGCACTAGGACGGACATAGATCCGTCGATCTGACGATCGAAAGAATTACGTGGACTCACACGGCGAGGGTAGGTGCGGACCGAACCACAGGCCCATGAGAACCAATTGAAAGGCGACAGCCACCCTAGTGCTGGCGATCCGAAGATGTTCTGCTTTAGAGACAATGAGCAGACGTCACACCACCTTATTAAATATCTCGGATCATGATTAGGACCTGACAACTTTCTTAGTTAAATCCTTCAATCCCAATCTTCAGAGAGAGAGAGAGTTTGTGGGGGCAGGAGGAAAGTGACTTCTCATCTGCGATTCGGGTACAATTCTTTTCAATCTTGGGTTGCAGAATGACGTCAAGATTGGTAGCCGTAGAATTCATTTTCTGGGTATCGACGGAACACGACGTGTATGATATTCTTCTCTACTTCATATCCATTTTCGCGATTGTTCTGATTGTCAAACTCACCCTTTTTTTTCTTTCCATCGACAGTAGGCAGCACATGAATCACGATGTGAAAAAAGTCAACCTTGCCGTACATAACTGGCACACGTAGCCCCACTCAGGATGCCCAAGTGCAATAACAAAAGAAACACCATGTGATAACATTTCTTTCGTTCCAAAGATTTAGCAGCTAATGATAAGCCATGATTATGTTTAAGCCAGTTGTTAATCTGTTATTATAAGCTTAATGAGTGAGATGGTTAAGGCCGAGGGCTCCGCTTTCGCTGCTTTAGATGAACCAAAGAGAAGGCTCGCTCCTCCTTTTTAAGTTTCTGGACAAATAGGAGACAAGATCTAGGAACTTTAAGTGTGTGATTTCGATTCATTAAGACGGAAGTAAAGAAGATTATATTGCCATCTGATTTATACACGAAAACCAATAAATCTTTGCAAAGTCTATCGAGGATGGATAGCATAAAGAAGACCTCAAGCATATGAGAACTCAGTAAGTGGTGGGCGAAAGAAGTTCAAACGCTAGTCACATCTCGAAGACAAATCTTTAAATGTGTAAAAAAGCTCAAGGCCTCTAGTTTTTCGACCATATTAAAATCGAAGCGCACAACAGTTTTTCTTTCAAAGCTTAAATTAGTAGCGAATGACACAAAGATACATGTCATATTTATCATCACAGTACATGACGATGAAAGGGCAAAAAGAAGAGGGGAGAACAAAGCAGTTGAGCTTATCCCTCTGATACAGTGTGCTTTACATGGCAGTGCAAAGATAATTAGGACTTGCTATGAAAGAATTTTTTCTAAATGCAGACAAATGCCGCTCGTCACACCCTACTTTGAACCCTCCCCCTTCCAATCTTTTCTGTCTGATCCCCACGTCATAACCATCACCACCATGGTCACCACTTTCAATGTATCCCATCCTCTTCCACTACAAACAGTGACATTCCTAATAATACAAACAGGACCCTACCAAAAACAGAGATTGTGTTGTCCCTCTTAACTTCTTTTTGTAGTCATGATTGCAGATTACCTTTCCTTGTCCTGAATTCTCTTGAATGTACTTGAGTCAGACAATGGTCATTTGGCCCAGATAAAAGTAGGAGAAAGGAAAGACGGATGGCAAACCCAATTTTCGTGCTAAACTAAACGAGAGATTTCCACTAGTTGGCAGAAAAGCACGGTTAAAGTTCAGTAGTAACTATATACAAGCACTTGCGCCAGTACAGAGCAAAAAAGGGACAAAATTATGAGACCTAACCCAGGGAGGGTCAATCACAAGGAGAAACCAAGGGAAGATCAAACTTAGAACAGATCAAACATGAAGGTAAAGGTTAAGAAAGTAGAGGGAAACTCAAAGCCATGTTAGAAAAATATTAGCTTGAGGCTTTCATCTTCCTCTTCTTCTTCTTCTTCTTTTTCACAAAATGGATAGCACCAACTTCCTAATTCAATCAAGAGGGTCTAGATCTCTTGAATCCAGCGGATGCAGGACTGATTTCTGGAACTGCAAAGACATCATCATTCCACCTCTTGCCGGGTCTCATGGTTGCAGGCTCTTTTGTCTGCTTGAATCCTCCTGTGATCCCACCATTTTGGTAAGAGAACTGACTAGACCACACTGGGTTTGGAGATTGAGGGACCCAAATTCCCAAATTTTCAGATGGGAAGGAACTCATTTCACTCTCAAGATCATTGTCCGTGAATGGCAATAAACCATCGTCTTTCTGCAACCCAAGAACCATAAAAACCAATTATCAGCTCCGAAGTACTATTGTTTCTTATCCTAGATTTGGTAAGCCAGCAAGGAAGGATAACAAGTTTCGGCTATGAATCAGAACTACCAAAGAAGGAGATGGGTCAATGCAAACCTTACAGAAACCAAAGGAAGCAGAGCAGGAATCAAGAAAGTCCTCAAAGTGCCAGCCTGGCAGCATCTCTATCAAGTACTCTGATATGCTACTCGTTGACCCGTTCGAACCACTTTCCTGGTCGCCCAACAGACTGTTGTTGCTTCCATCCTTGTTGTTCACCACCGCTGCGGATGCAGCCGCCGCTGCCGATGCCGCGCTCGCCGCTGCCTTTCGAGGGCCCGAGAGCGTCGCAGAAACAGAGACCGGCTTCTTGATTGAGGATGATGCCTCGGACTTGAAGTCGGGGACGACATCGCATCCGTTGGACGGGGAGGCGCTACCGGCAGCAGATGCGTAGACTTCCGATGTAGCGGAGAGCTTCACTCCCGTGAGCAAGAACCTGTTGTGCTTCTTGGTATGCTCGTTGGCCGTGTGTATCGGAAGATCGCACTCCCTGCAGAGAATGGCCCGGTCCTGTTGACAGAACAAGAACGCTCGCCTCTCCTACACCAAACCCAGTTTTCATTTTCGCCGCAATCAGCAACAAACCAACGAAACAAACCCAAAAAAGAAAAAGAAAAAAAAGGATAACTTGTTCCGGGGAACATCGGTCGCCATACAGAAAAGGCAGTAGCAGGCGAGGCGAAGAGAGGCAAGTACCTGGCAGACGTCGCAGAGAGGGAATTCCTTAGGGGAAGGACAGAGAAGGGAAAACCGCTGGTGCTTGGAGGCGAGCTTGTTGGCGTGGTGGACGCGGTGGTCGCACCCCCCGCAGAGCGCTGCCTCGTCGGCGGTGCAGAACACGGACGCCTCGTCCTTGATGCACACGTCGCACTGGATCTTCATCTGGTCCTCCTCCTAACCCTTTTCTTCCCCTTCTTCCGTCAAGCTTCCAAGAATTTGACAGAGAGAGAGAGAGAGAGAGAGAGAGAGGCGTTGAAACTGGGATGTTGGAGGAGGAGGAGGAGGATCAAGAAGATGGAAATGGGTTTGGACAGAGAGAGGTGTGCGCAACGTCTTGGGTGGGCTTGAAGTTTGAACAAGAAAAGGAGTGGCTTTTTTCAACAGCATGGGAAAGAAAAAAGAACACACGCACTTGGGATGATGATGTAAGAGAAAGAGATGGATCAAGATTCAGGCGATGGAGCGGCAAGTTGGTTTATATATGCAAAGTGGAAAAAGATTCTTCCTTACTTTTCTTGTTAATTTAATGTTAAAAATAGAAAGGGTTAAAGTTAATAACCACGAAAAACCCAAAATTAGTACACATGTAATAAATTTATTCAAAACTAATTTTTTGACCATCAAAAATCTCAAATCAGTACATCTGTGACAATTTTACGCTTCATTAGTTTTTGTTAAATTTTACTGTTAAATTTCTAAATTAGATGACATATGGCAGTTGACTGGTATACCAATTTGGGGTTTTACCCTCTGTTTGTCAAAGGTATACCTGTATGTGATTTTTCATGATATTAATCCAATTTAACGGAGGGCAAATTTGTCATAAATGTACCAGTTTGGCGTTTTTAGTGGTCAAAAAATTAGTTTGGGGTAAATTTGTCACATGTGTATCAGTTTGGGATTTTTCGTGGTCAAAAAATTAGTTTAGGGTAAATTTGTCATAGACGTACTGGTTTGGGGTTTTTCGTGATATTAATCCAAATAAAAAAAATGAAATTCGGTCGTGTTTGGTAAATCAAAGAAAATCAAGAAGGTTATTTTTGACCGACACATGCCAAAAACGACTGTGCCGCAATATAATGTTGGAATAACCATGTGACTGTAAGTTCGGGATATGGACAGGTATATACTATTATTTTCCTTGTAAGTACGTCGAGAAAATTTTATGCGACGCTATAATGCAATCATAAAAAGATGTTACCATGATTTTACGTCAATTGTATTTTAAACAACAAATGCTTACATTTTTTTAATAGGATTATTTAAAGCACAAGGTTTTGCAGAAATATCATACCTAATAGCTAAATTTGCTACAATGTGCACGGCTATAATTGAAGGTGGAGAAATACATTTGAGCTTGGAAGAGGAAGTCGTGGACATGAGCTTGCAATTAAATTACCCATTGACGTTAACAATAAAGTTACTCAAAAAAATTTATTTTATAATATGAATGTGGCAAAACTCGAAAGTCTTTACTTTTTTTTTTCTTTTCTGTTAAGGGCTTAATTTATCGAATGAGGAAAATGAGACCTTGATCAGATTATTTCTCAACTTCCGTGTAATTAATGCACGCAATGTCATTTTTCTAAGGTTTCATTTGTTTCGCGGAAAATGAACGATTTATAAAATAATTTTTTAATAATGATCGCTTACATCTCTTATAAAAATATATATATTTTCATCGTCAACGAAAATATTTGTACATAAATTATTTACGATAATTAAGATATTTTTTATTAACTAATTTTTTAAAGTGATATAAGTGATTATTTTAAAAAATATATATTTTAAATTATTCATTTTTCAAAAAATAAACGAAATCTAAATTCATGAGGAATAGTGCTCACAAGAAATTACGTCTCAAGGCTTATCGTGTGAGAGACTTTGCTAGTCATCATTAATTGTACTTGACTCCACGAGACAAAATTGTGTATGTTTGCGACAACTTCAAACATGTTATTTATTGCGAGTCGCCCCAAATGAAACCTCCTTTGAAATTTGATAGCTTGTAAGAGAGAATCATGACTTCAAATCTCAATGATTACATGTATTAAAAGAGTTGAAGTGATGGGAAGGACATAAAATCTTAAATGCAGATGGCTAAAAAAACAGTACAAGAAAAGTAAAAACTAATGCACAATGACAAGATGAATTGTAACCCTCTCAGAATTGGAATTCTCTATATTTGGGTAGATAATTTTGCCCGATTCCTTTGAATCAAAAGATCCTTACGATTTAGGAAACCGAATATCGTCTCTTCTACCTTTGCCCTCATCGAGGGCAAGGGTAGAGCTCAAGGGTCGCGACCCAGTCGGCATCGTCACCCAACCCTGAGTGATGCCAAATCGGTTTGTGAGATCGGGCTTGGCCGAGTGACGTCGATTCAACGTGGTGAGCCTAATCCGATCCCCAACACGAAGTGAGAACACCCACTGTGAGCAAGTTGTCATGCGTGGGTGGTCGTGGTCGTGGTCGATGGTCCTCAGCGTTCATGGCTTGGTCTATTTGTGACTTACGACCCTGAGTAGAGAGAGAGAGAGAGTCATTAGAGAGGAGAGAGAGATATTGCTAAAGGCAAGCTAAGAAATAGGGAAAGGAGGAAAAGGAGAGAATGAAAATGAAAAGCAAAAGGGTACTTTTGTTTTACTAAAAACTTTATGATAAAAGAAAATATTTTTCATGAAAAATTGTTAGTGATTTAAGAAAAGTGATTTCTTTATTAACAAAAAGGGCAGCCGTTTTTTCTCAATCTAAACTTATTTTCAGTTCATGACTAGATCAATTAATTGTCCGTCATCCATACACAGGAAAGTCGAAAATAATTTCTCGAAAATAATTTCCCTTGTTGTTCACTGAAAATTTCATGATACAAGAAAATATTTTCCATGAAAATCTTATCCACGGAAAATGGGTAGTTTTTATTTATTTGGTGATTTAGGCAAAGTGATTTTCTTATTGCCAGAAAGATAAGTCGTTTTCCTCCAATTTAAGCTCGTTGTTTTCGGTCCACAAAAAACGTTTTCCAAACATCGTCCAAATACTAGAAAAAATTTCCCGGAAACATTTCTTCCAACAAACGGATCCTAAGAAAGAAATCTCAACGATCAAATTATATTTGTAAGGGAATGTCAATTTTCTCAATGTATATATATATATATAAAATGGAAAATCTACTCTTAAATTCAGAGGACTCCAATCCATACCTAGTTTGGTTGCATAAGAGAGAGCACTTAATGCAATCTTCTCAATTATGTGTACAAAAAAAAAAAGCCAGTCTCTCTCAAGACACAGAGTCACAACTGTACAATGGCACCAATGATTGGATAGTAAAATTCACTTGCCTGCCGTAGCTAGAGGTGTCAAAAATACCCTCTCCTACCCTACCCTACCTAGCCCGAACCGAACGGAACCGACCCGACCATTGAGCTAATGTGCATAAAATAAAAAACGAATGATATTAGCATATTATCTTTTTTAATCCCCTTCACTCCTATTAAGGTACAACTTCCAGGCTCTTTTGTCTGGGGGGACCATCTGGTGCCGCCTCCATTATTGGCCAATTCACATCTCGAGCTCCTCAGCATTTTGCACAAACCCAAGATCTCTCCCCCTGCATTGAAATCCATGATTGCTGCTAAAATCCATAGAAACAGGACACAGTGTGTTGCATCAGATTTTGCTGTAAAAAATCTATTCTATCTCCTCTCTCTCTCTCTCTCTCTCTCTCTCTCTCTCTCTCTCTCTCTCTCTCTCTCCTGCCTCCTTAGTTCTGCATCAAAGCAAATTAGCCTTGTGGTCCCTCTTCTTAACCTCGAACTTATTCAGTGCAAGTTTTATAGTATGGCAGCGGCAGCAGCAGCAGCACCAACCCCACCACATGGGGGGGCCTCTCTAGCTTCGAAGTACGTTTTCTCTTGTTTTTCTTTCAGACCATTCACTGGCATGAAGCATGAGTTCCACCTCGAATCCTTCTTTCGCGAAGAACCCAACTGCCCAAATTTTTGTATTCTTTGGGTCACCGCCATCTCTCCATATGTATTATTCCCAAGGAACCAATAAGCATTTTTTTGTTTGTTTGTTTGTTCGTTTGTTTATGAATTCCTACAATAATCGGCACTGCGTTGCGTTGACGTGCTTCGCGCGTGGGTGAACAGTGTTCATTTCGTACGCAACGTTGTGAGCCGACGGTACAACTCATAAGTTCAATTTTGCAGAGAATCTAAAATAGGCATTTTATTCACGATTCAAAAAATAAAAGAAAATGAGAGAAGTGTTCTAAATTTCCGCACATGGATTGGAAGATGAGGTTGATTATTTCACTATAAAAGATAATTAAGGAATTTTATCTAGTGCGTTAGTTAAATTCTTTCTTTTAACTTATTGTCCTTTTTCTTTGACCAAGTAGAGCAATTAGGTGTACAAGGGTTGTTAAATGGTGCATATAAACTATTTTAAAATGCTGGAGATAGGAGCCAAAGTTAAATGGCATTATTGAGGAGATAATTAACATTAGGGCAAAAAGAAGGCACTAATCAAGATCATTTGGTGCTCCTTATCTCTTAATGCTGGAGACAAACTAAGTCAATTTGCTTTTGCAATTCAAGCAAATTCTTGATGAGAATTACAAGTATAATATAAACAAAAGGCAAATTGGCCAAGAGACAGGGTCCTCCACTGCCTAAGTTGCCATAGTTGCAACTTTGCTTTGTTTTTGCTGACTAGTTGTTGAACTTTCCAATATAATCCCTGAAATTTTAAAATTTGTTCGAATATGATCCTTTGGTTTAAAATAATTGATGGGATTTACTGACATAGACAAGATATTTCATCCAGTTCGTGACTTATCGCTGTTCTCGCACTATTTTGCCAAATTTATTTTGTTTGTTTGCTCGATTGGGTCCTTGCATGTGTGGCTTTGTATATGCACCCATGCGCATGCTTGCGTGTGACGAAAATCACTTGGGCATTGCTTAGGTGAGGATTCGGTAAATACCCATGTCACCATGTCGTTTTCATGTCACCATCTCGTTGCATCTAATTTAGGTTTAAACCCAACATGAAATGTTTGATAATCGCGTCACGACATTAAAATCCCAACATACCAAATTAATTGAATGGATTCCACAACATAAAAATTGTTCAAGATATAAACCCTCATATACAAAATGCATAGAGATGTGAATACATGTCGTGATAACTTCATGCACATTATACCAACAACGCAACTCGTCCTTCCATCTCTAGATATATTTCGTCGTATTCACATGTGGTGATTATGTCGAAGGAGCAATAACACGTCGTGTTTTAGAAATGGAGACATCGTCGCGCCCTATTTAGATCCCATTACGCAAAAAATCAGATATCTCTCTCGCTACAAACTTAAGCTACCAATTGATCGCTTTCACGTGCACTATTGGGTTCACCAGAGATAAGGCATGACCTCCCCTCTC